GATGACATCATGTATCTTTAAAGTCAGAAGTCTCAGTTTACAGAAAAGACCAAAGAATGTTCTTATAGCGAGATATGCATTTTTTTAAAAATGCAGCATGAATTTATTTGCAGTTATTTATTCGAATTTGTAGAAGAAATGAGTGGGACTGACGAATTCAATAATAAAATTTTTCTCATAAGCATGGAAAGAAGAGAAATAAAACGTTTTCCATTTTATTATTAAGTAACATTATAATTTTTTAAAAGCAAATAAAATGGAAATTAGGAAAGTGTTCGAACAACCAAGCTTAGGATGATGCAATTAACGGGCTTAATCGACACAAATTTACCGTACTGAATATTAAATTTTAGCTGCTAATGGTTAAATTTGAATAGATGTCTCAAACTGATTGAAAAATTACTTTGTTCAGGTTCAAAAGTCGAAGGCGCTCATGCCAGATTGTGTTAAAAGAGTTTTTTCTATGTAGCGTTAGTAAGACCACATAATTTTATACGTAAATTTGAACTACTGGACTGGTTTTGGCTTATTTATTTATGGCAAAGACTCAAGGGCTATGTGTCTAAGGGAAGGGTTGCCTCCGTGGAGAGCTTTCCAAAGGAAACTGGCTTGTATACACGTTACGCATGGGGAAAAACGCGAATGCAGCCAGGTCCGTTCGCAGGATTCGAGCCTCGGACCGAACTACCACTGTTCAGCGACTTTACCACTCGGCCGCTGATGAGCCTTGAGCCACTGAACCGAATTATTCTTTTGTAAATATTGCTAAGGGTAGACAGGCGGCTGATAGGTGTATTACTAATGTAGTAGACGGATGCGCATCAATGATGAAGCAAGTCTGGTGATAAGAGTTTTCCTGGAAGTTTCTTAAATACTCAGTAAGAAAAAGTACGGATTACGCATTATTAAATAAATTTGAAAATCCAAGAAAATTTTCATTTCAGCTAGCCTATTATCAAGTCTTTAATATACCATCGAGAGATCGGAAAATTTCGCTTTTAATAGATATTTTTCTTTGAAGAAGGAGAATGAATTTGTCAATGTGAAAATAGATTCGCGGGATTGTGTGGGATATATTCTGTCAGTCGATTCGACTTTTTATAAAACAATAATTGATTTTTACTACATTCTGCATAGCGATTACTTTTGTGTTTTACCTTAATCCAGCAATTTTATTCTTTCAGTAAAAGAACATAATTATATTTCCAAAAAGAAGTTCTTGTCTATTAGTATGAGAATGGTACAGTCTTCTAGGATTTAATTTATTTTATTTTATTTTATTTTGATAGTATAAATAGCAATTTTCCCAAGGTAGTATACAGGGTTTTTTCCAGGTTCTGCATATAAAATTTTTCTGTTGTATAAATATTTGATTTTAAAAAGAAAAAACATACACTGTCTGCCTCCTACTTTAGTATTAGAAATAGTAGAAGTGCTTTCTTCCCGTGATTTTTAAGCAAATAAAACATAGTTTCAACGGTTATAATTATTTAAAAATATGTTTTAATGTAAACGATTTTATACTTGTTGTTTTATAAAAGAGTTTATCTTTTTCTTTTGCCCAATAATAGTAGAAATATTAATTCATAGTTTTAGATATGCAGCACCGATTACAAAATTCAAAAATTCTAAGCTAAATTATTTAAGACAAGTAGACTATCACTCTTGATCTCGACTATTAAACTGGTGATGATATTCATAAAACAAATTTGATAAGCTGTTGATTGTTATTGAAAGGTACCTTTAGCTCATTCAATGAGCAAGAATATTTCTGTTAAAGATTACCATCTTTAATATCAATAATATCTTTCAATATCTTTTCACTACCCTCATTTCACTTGTTACAAACTCATTTCTTATTCTTCACCTTTAAATCTTCAACAACATTTAGCAGTTATTAGATGGAAACAGTTTAATAAATTAATGCTTAATTTACGGATTATGCGTTTGTGTCACTGGTACACTGAGGCATACAAAGTTGAGAAGATGGAAGCTAAATATAGCATTTTAATGCCCATTAGAGTTTTATCTAAATATTTAGCTATTACGTACAATGCTTGAGCCTTCAGGCCACACCGTTTCGCTAGTTGATTTACTATATATACTTTGTTAGAGAATCATAATATAACAGAATTCGCTGTAAATTTATGTGCGTATTCATTTAATGTAATGCATTGATCATTTAGACTTCATCTGTATATTCAGTATGAAACATAATTTTTTATGAGTTCCAAAATATATCATAAACACATATATACTGTTGTAGTTTTATATATGTCATAAACAAAATAATTAATAATGTCATTACGCATAATGCGTAGAAAATATGCATATTGACCCCTGGCATTTTGAATAATAAGATGTTAACACTTGTTTAATAGCATATACGTGAGTACTTTTTAGTCATCAAGTTTTTGAAAAAGAATACAGTCCAGCCTCAATTTCACAGTACCCTCAAATCAACATTTCCTTTCATTGATCTGCCCAGATTGCATATAAATAATAAAATTGCAATCTAAAACTATGCACAACACTCAAATTCTGCTACAGCATGTTGCACTCCATTTTTGCCATTTCCTTGGACAACGTTTTTAACTCTTTCTGGGAAAAAAATAAAATAATTTTGCATTTTATTGACCACTGCTAAACTTACTCAAAGCTTACAGCTGTTGTACTGGATCTAATTATACCTTTTTCTTCTAAAGCCCAATATTGCAATCTTTAAACCCGAAGTGTTTGTTACATTACCGAGAAATCATTTGGAAATGATGATGGCATGCTAAAGATTAATGTTCTGGAATTTTTGGAGGTTAGTGTATTATGTGTCGTAGTCTTGCAGTAATTTACTTTCGTTATTGGAAGACTCGTTATTATTTTCTTTTCATTAGTTTCGTTTCGCTGTCTTACGTTAAATTTTCTTTAGCCCTTCATTTCGTTGGATTTGCCTGTAATTAGTGAACTTAATAATTTTTTTAATTAAAGATAATGTTTCCAGAAAGAGAGATCGAAAACAATATTTTTACAAAGTAAGTTTACATTTCTACATCAAAAACAAAATCAGAAATTGAAATAATAAGCTGCCAAGTTAGCTGCATGGCACAAAGTTGTTCCACGTGATGTTATGTGCGACAAAAACTGTGTTTCAAAAGTTCAGATTCGTAAATATCAAACTGCTGATATTATGTATGATAAATAGGAAGATGAGGAATCATCCAATTTCTAAAATGAAAGTAAAATTTGAGTAAGGGAAATAAAAGTAGCTTTCTTGTTGACGGAAAGTATTTTTTTACATAAAAAAATACTCGATTACTATTTGAGACTGCTTTAATTCATTCGCTGTTATTAGTAACATCAAGATCAAAACTACTACTTTAAAATGTGAAACAAAAAAGATTGTTGCGAAGGTTTTGGTAGCATGTAGTTTTCCACAAGCCGTAAAAAGTAAAGGAGATCTTATTAAACTTGCGCAATCATTTCGACGGAAATTTTGAACGATCAGATTGCTCTTTGTTCTGTTTTAATTAACAGATAGAAATTATGGATAAAGCATATAAAAAACTTAAGTAAGTACGAACTTAAGCTATTATTTGATCTCTAAGATTATTGGTAAACAAGTTCATTAAACTTTGTTTGCACCAGTCATTTCGGCGGCCAAAAATTCATAATGCAATCTAATATAACACCATCACCAAAATAATTATGTGAAGTCCGCAATACATGCAAATTCGCTTAAATATGAATCTAAATTGTGTTGAGCAACACTGTGGTGTTTTTTTTATTCTTTTACTTTGCCAAACCCCGCAGTCTTTCAAAATGGTTTGAGTATGAATGAGCCTTCGAGTATGTTATGAAGTCATGTTTATTCATTATAGTCGACAAATCACACTGCTTGGTTTTTATTTTGTCGAAAATGGTCGGTGGGGGTACTACATAAATACGACTGTTATTTCTTTTAAAATAACATTCTTTTTAAGCGCGGTTTTTAAATATAAAGAACAATTATTCTTTTCGGGTCGCAGGAGTTTTGTAATGTGTATGTGGTATCTTTAGAGTAATTCAGGCGCGTTTTCATTTAAAGTAGTTAGAACAATAATTTTCTTTACACGTTGTGCAGACAAATGATAAAAGTTAATGCCCCGAATTTAACTTAATTCACATTATTTTTTTTTTTAATTTCCATTAATGTTTCAAATAGCCGGACTCTTGCAACTTAATACATTCGATAATTTTCTTTTACCCTTTGAGAAAGTTTCTGTTAGTCCTTGTTCTTATTCAACAATAATTTTTTCTAGTCCTTCAATTCGCGGAGTTCGACTGTTGTTGGTTAACTTGATCACGTTTAACAACAATTTATTTTTTAAAGATGTAAAAAGTTAAGAACCGGATAAATGGTGATGAGTACTTAAACTTACAAGCCCAAAGGTCTCGAAACGGCATTTTGCGTCAACTCACTGTAAATGTCCGTTTCACTTTTCAAATTGTTTCCACCAAATATTATCGCCCTGTATTACATTTAAAGAAATTAAATGATAAAGAATCTGCATGAACACACACACACACACACACATATATATATATATGTTTCTCACATTGTGAAAAAACGACGGTAACTAGAGCCATCAAATGTTGAATAACGTAGTCTTCCACCCGAATGCGGGCACATAGAAGCCCGAATTCGGAATTTGTGTTATTGTCTATTTCATATTTTGTCAAATTTTAACGAATTTTTGATTAAAATAACTCAACAATTCCAAAGCAAGCAGTGGCAACACTGTCGAGAATAAAACATTTTTATCTTTAGCGTGCAGGACTGTTTACTGGAAATTCTAAAGATATGCTGTTTTTAAATATTTTTGGCCCAAACGCACTCGAAACGTGTAAATGAAAAAAACGCCCTTTTGGAAGTAATATAAACTTTGAAAGCTTTCAGAATTTTTTTTATTATTTTATTGCTGATATGAAATTTTATTGCACTTTACTAATTCTGAAATTTTTTTCAGCTTCATTTGCGGAAGAATGTGAATATACAATGGCAAAGATGTGTTCTCTCACTCCAGGCGCCACTTATAACGAGGTAATCTATTTCATTATTGTCATGAAGTATAAAAGAAATATTTTCGTGTCTAAAGTCATTGCCATAATTCAGTTTCTTTTCCTTTTTTTAAAATTTTTTTTAAGCGCAACACTGAATGTAGTACATTCATACCTTGTGCAGTTTTCGTTTTACATATAATTTATAATTTGTTATTTCTGATTCTATAAAGTCTTATTGATTTCTGGCTTTTCGGAAATGAATCGAAACTTAAAAGCACTTATCATACATTTTCATACTTATTTAGAAAAGAACTCTGCTATGTTTGATTCAATGGATATTTGCATTTTAGACAAAATATATTTCAACAGATAACCTCACATTAGGAAAGTCTGAAGTTTAAATAAATTGGAAGCTTTGAAATTGCAGTGACTGAAACTAGACAACGGATACCATTGTAGAGTTATACAATTGGATAAATATAGGATGAATCCCAAATTTTCTCGAATTCGAATCCTTTATAGAAGAAAAATAATGAGAAGTAAAGAGAACTTTGGTTTATATTAAATAAATGGAACGTCAAACCTGAGTTTAATGGTGAAGAAATTTAAGATTTCAGTTTCAAAAAACACACTTATATCTTTTAAGAATAAATTAAATAATTAAGAATAAATTGAATTTAAGAATAAATTAAATAATCATTCAAATTAAATAACTAGAACCTGATATAAACTCAACTGATAGTGTCATTAAAGTCGGAAATTACTGAAATTTAAGTATTTTTTACATATTTCTTTTTCTGAATTCGTTTAAATCAAAGCAGATGTGTATAGGGGCAGGATTATTTTGAAAAAGAGAGTTATATAATTAAATATGGTATAACATAGACAAACACTAAGCACGAAATGGAAAATATATCTAGAAAATTAAGGATACGTCAATCAAAGCCAGCACAAGATTATACTGGTTATCCAGGTCCACTGGAATTGCTGTAGTCGTTTACTTTTCTTATAGGCATACCATTAATACCACACGTTAAAGAAAATAAATAATCTTCCCTAAATTTTGAGTTAAAGCTTTTACATTTTTAAAATTTAAATTTAAGGTTGATATTTGAATGAACAAAAAAAAAAAAAAAAAAAAAACCCTCGAAGATTCAAGTTTTTGATTCTAATTTTTTCCTAGATTCGAATAATCCATTCCCCCCCCCCCATTTTTGTGATTGGCCTTGTAACGTAGATGCTAGCAGAACTACCGATTTTGTAACACAGTTCTAAATTTAAGAAGACGTATTAAACGATAGATGTAACAGTGTTACACTGAATTACTTCAAAACTCGTTAATTCCATATATTGGGTCATATAAAAAGTCTCCGCGCTTTTTTGCCACCAGATGGTGTTGATGCCTATATATCCGTCAACGCTCACCCGATTGTCTAAACGAACATGCGCTTAAAAGGTGACATTCAGCTTCCATTGTTTATGAAAAAAATTTCTAATTCGTTGCATGTGCAAAAAGTTATAATGATTTGAAATGAGTGAAATATCTGAAGAAATATGTTAAGTGATGCTTTTTTTACTATAAAAAAAAGGTAAAAAGGCTACAAAATCATGCCGAAAAATTTGTGAAGTGTGTGGTGAGGAATGCTGTGAGTTAACGAAGGACTCAGGAGTGATTTCTCGATTCCGTTCCGGAAATTTTGACATTAAAGTTGCACCTCGCTCTGGTTGGTCAATCACTGAAAACGTCGATAAAATTTTGCAACTGGTTGAGCAATACCGGCACGTAAGCTGTCAGGAAATAGCAGAGGTACTAAACATCAACCACATGACAGCTTGGAATCATTTGAAAAGAGCAAATTACAAAAAGAAGTACAATGTTTGGGTGCTACATAAATTGCAACCTGGCAAAACCATCAATTCGGCCATGTACTGTGCACAACTCGCTCTTTTGAACGAAGCAATACAGAAAGAACGACTAGAATTGGCCAAAAAAAAAAAAGGAGTTGTGTTCCAGCATAACAATGCGCGGCCATAAACATTTTTGATGACTTCGGACAAATTGACGGAACTTGGATGGGAAGTTTTGATGCATCCACCATATAGCCCGAACCTTGCACCGTCTGAACTACCGTTCTCTTCGGTCTCTGCAAACTCTCTTGATGGTAAAAAAATTGGCCGACCGGAAGAGCCGCTGAAAATCACTCGCCCAAGTTTTTCGACGATAAGAAGTTCTACACCGATGGAATTATGAAGTTGCTCGAAAAATGGCAAAAGGTCATAGATAATAATGGTCAATATGCACTTGATTAAAATTGATTTTCAATAAAGAAAATGTCTGTTCAAAAATGTACCAAAAATGCGCGTAGACCTTTTTATATGACCCAATATATTCCATCAACTCAGAAGCAACTAGCGCAAAAATTGCATTACATTTCTTGGCAAAATGTTTTTCTTGCCATCCTTTATGAATCCTTTCAGTTTTCCATATGTTTGACATATGGAATTTTTATATTGTTTAAATCATTTGCTATTACATTTCGCCATTCGCTAAGATTTTCTAACTGGAAGTTACCTGTTAAGAAGAGCCTGGAAAAGCCATGTTGGATAAAAATATTGCTTCTGAATTTTTTCCTGGTAAAGGAATTACGTACTACTGCTTGGGGAATTTTTGATTTCCTTGGTTAGCTTCTTCCCGTAGTCACACTATGGGTTCATCAGGAGCTGCCTAACTTGCTGACATTTCGATAATCTGTGGCCTACTTTACCAATAACGCTGACGGACAGTTTATCTGAAAGCGTAACCCTATCTAAAGTGCGAGTCGTACACAGACTTCGTAAAACTAATAATGTAAAGCTGCGTTATTTTTAGGCAACAAATAAATTTACAATGAAATTTCTGTATGTACATTTTTATTAGCGAGATGATATTCCCCTTCACCATTAACAACAGAATGTTCATCAGAAATAACTGTATAATGTCACCTCCAGGCTTGATGCTCATTAAGTCTTGGTGGCCAGGCTTGATGCTAATATTTTTTCTGCCTGATTAATTCGGCTGTAGAAAACACTTCTCCAAATGACACACAAGAACTAGGACTAAAAATTGAGTTGAATCTCTAATTCAACCGAGATATAACCCCAAAATCTCACCGCATGTAGGTAGCATCGTGTTACTCGTATATCGCCGCCACGTGTAGCATCGTGCAGTATTAGTATATTTTTGGCTCTCGCCACATGCTTTTATATTAACATCGTGTTCGTTTTTACCAAGACGTCAAATTCGCATTGGCTGTCCTTCCGTGCTTTTTTGTGAATATGCGGTTAACAATTTTTAGTTTACCAAATAAAGAGGTGGATGCCATATCCTTTTTTCAAGAAACAGATCTTTTACCTGACAAATGAGTATGCAAAAATGACCATAACATGAAACTATATGTTATGACGAAACCATTTGGAGGTGCAATATTAAAAATTCAAAAAAAGAAGAGCCTCCTTGTTAGAAATTGGTTTCGTAATTATTCAAGAAGTGCAAGATGGATGAACGATCTACTGAAACTGCTGCAAAGGATATAAAATAGAGCAACTTGAAAAAACTGGTTACAATCAGTTTACTAGTTAGTTTACTAGTTATAATACAACATTTATTACAATAATTCTTCATGATTCATCTTTCATGCTTGTTTATTTATTTATTTATTTTGTCTCCCAGCGGGGTTGTTGGTATACTTGCAGAATCAAAGCCGAGTTTGAAGTTTTCACTGGTACAAAAGTAAACGGTTCTCCTTGCAAATCAATTATAGGCGGTGTGGATGGAGTAAGTACTACATTAATACTTTACTTTAATAAGTCTATTTTATAACATTCATGCAGATATGTAATTCCGAAACGAATTCACGCTAAGAAGGATTAGTAACTTTGCAACTGATAGAGATGAAAAGTCTTCCGAGAAAATATTATAGTTGAAACAAGTATTTGAAATAAAGTTTTATTAGCGTTCAGTGCATAATTCATTGCGAATTTTAAAGTAAATTTTTAAGCTTAAGGTGAATTCAAATTTCATTTCCGCTTATGATTGACGATTTAATAGAGGTTTATTCGATTGTTTTCGTATAATTTAATTAAAGTTATCCAAGAAAATATAAAATAAGTAGATATTTAAAAAAGCGTTTACTAAAAAAAAAAAAAAAAATTCTTTGCTGAAGTGATTTTTATGAATTTTTTGTGTGTTCCATACAAAAAAATTTCGTTTCTCTATCTTTAAAGTTTTCGAAATAATTATCTTTTAAATGTAAGAATCAAATAATTCTTTATATTTTAAGCTCTTTATACTCAAAGACAAATTTCTTTTCATGATCTTCCTAGCTTTTATTTTATTTTCTCGTTCTAAGAAGTATTTGACAGTTTCGGTTAATTACCACAGACTTTAATTATTAGACTGAATATGAGAAATGAAAATCTCTGATCAAACTTGTATTCCTTTACTTTCAAATTATCAGTGTTACATAATTTGTCACACACCATATTATCTATAGGATCTGCTCATCTGCAATCTGCTCAGATTAAAGTCTGGTCATCTGTATGTTCTCCGAATGTGATGATTTCTGTCTCGTCAATAAAATGATCTTGTAGTTATCGGTGGAAGCCCAAATGCATTTCAACCGTTGCTACCAATATTTATTTAGTTTCATAATCCATTTGGTGTCCGTTCATAATATTATCCTCTAAGCAACATTTTTGAAACTGTATTTTTGTAATTAATTTTTTATTGAAACAAAGAATTTTTTAGAACAATGGAATTTGAAATTATTGAAGATTTCTAAACATTTATTTTTCTGTTCATGGATTCCTTAAAATTTACTAAGGATTTATTTTGAAATTCTCTTATGCAACTTTTACTTCTGTAGCCACTTCTTAAGATATATTGGTTAATAGTTAACCAATATTTGTTAATTAATTGCTTTATTAATCATGGCAGTGAAATATTTACTTTTGTGCATATAAATAAATAAAAACGGAAAGAAAGGAATTAAAATTGTAAACGTTAAGGTGTAATAAGGAAAAAAGAAAATTATTATTTAACTGTACAATTTTTTAATATATTTTTCTATATGTACCTAATCATAAATCTATTAATTAATCGTACGTCTGTTTAACAATAATAATAGGCAAATATAAATATGAGTAATAAAAATACGTAATAGAAAATAATAATAATTATTCAATCGTAAATGCATCACTTACACATTTATCAGCATTTACTTGTAGTAATTGCAAGGATTAAAATTATTAATACAATTTAAGGCATATTAATAAGCAATTCTTTTACGTATTCTTTAATTATATATCTTCTTGATACATTTTTCTACGATTATTTTCCAAATGCAAATAAAATAACAGTTTTTTCCTTTTCCAGGTTTGTAAACATGGTCTTTGCTTTCCTAATGAATAGAACTCGGAATAAAATTTCTTAAACATTGTAAAATAAAGTAAATTAAGACAACATTTTCTTTGGTTGCCTTATTTATATTTTTTCTATTGATTTTGGTTTCACAAGAAATTACAGTCTTAGGAAATCACTTTGGCATTCAAAGATTGCTTAGTAGTTGTAACATAACTAATCACACCGCTTTCTATAAACAAGAAAAATAACAAAACGGAACGAAGTAAGGGATGCCTCCTAGTAACTGGAAATGGTTTTTTTTTATAAATTGAAACTGAAATTAGTTTTTTTTTTTTTTTTTTTTTTTTTGTTTTGTTCTTTGGAGGATTTTGACAAGAAGCAAAACTAAATTAGAGTTTGCAGCCTAAAAATGCTGGGGAATAACTGATTTATTTGTTTCCTTTTTACTTCATTGTATGAAGTAAAAAGGAAGTATTGTAATCGCGAAAAGTTTCAGGCAGCATATTTCAACGAAAATATCCATTTTAACCGCTATCGAATGCAATTTAACGATGTTTTTGCGTGACGTCTGTATGTAAGGACAGAATAAAAAACTCTTTTCCTCCAAAAAAAATTATAAAACTACTTTAAAATGAATTCTGAAGAGAATTTTTCGTGGCGTCTGTGCGAACGTATGTACGTACTTACGTATCTCGCATAACTCAAAAAACGAGTAACCTCAGAACGTTGAAATTTTGTATATAGGACTGCTATAACATGTAGATGTGCACCTCGTATTTTGGTTGCAATCGGCCGCACCAAACGTATATTTATATATTTATATACGTTTGGTGATCTCAGTTTCTTTACTCTTATATGTTTGTAAATTGTACATTGTTTTGCTTTAAAAATGATTGCATTATATTGTTCTTATATTCCAGTTAAGGTTTTTATGCCTTTAGTAAATCTGTATGCAATATTTTTAGAATGATAAAAAATTTTAAAGTTGTTTAAGTGCCGCTAAGCCTAATAATTTTTTTTTTGATGGCGGCCGTTACTTGTTTACATTTGAAACAGCAGAATAGTGGATTTGTTGCCAATCTAGAGGAACTTAGCTTCGAAACAACAAAGATAACGCCTTCATTTATGATGGCGAATTAAATCATGCTTAGTCCTTTCTGGAATTTTTTTAGAGGAAATAAGTGTTTAAAATTTACTTCGTAATTTTTAATACAGATATTTTGAGTTTTTATGTATTTTTGCCTTGTTGCGAAGTGAGAACTGAATTAATGGAATGAGAAATACTCAATCGTCTGATCGTGAAATTTGTTCCTTTTTTTTTTTGTTTGTTTGTTTTATTTCGTTTATACATCGTTCTAGATTTATTAAAGTAAATTTGAATAGAACATGTGGCAATGATTAGATAATTCTTCAAATGATATAAATGTTGCATTCTGAGTTATAATATAAATAATATATTAAAGGCGTTAATGGTCGATTGCCTCTTATAAGTGATAAGACATAAACGAACAAAATATAACGAATATAATACTGTTAAGTGAACCTAGCGCCAGTGTGTCGTTATGGTAAACAAGTATAGAATGAATTTTAAAAGAAGTGTATTTATTCTATTGTGGTTTATGCGCTGTCGGTGAAGCAGATTTAATTCAATCCAATAAGTTTAAATGAAATGCAAGAAAAATATGCGTATAATTTAATATTCCGTATAAGGAGGTCATGTGGTGTACACATCAGATTTTTTCTGAATATGCGATTCAGGTTCCTTGATGAGAAATTTTAAAGTTCGCTTTGTTTGAACTGTGTATATTAAACCGCACTGATAAGCAGTGTCATAAATTGCCCAAGTGTTTATGGCTGGAAATGATTTCATTTTCAAATACACTCTTTGAAATTATTTCTTCTTCAAACATATTTGCTCAATAACGCAAATTTTTACATAAGATGTGAAGTAAAAACAATTTCATTGCACAAACTCATAATTTATTATACTATGAAGCGAAAGAATTGAGGACACAGGCATTAGACGAAGCTCTGTTTTCTGCAAACTTAGATTATTAGTTCAAAAAAGTGTATTCCTTTCATTATTTACATATTCTTTGAACAGCTACACATAAAAGTTGATTTTTTTCTGATAAATTTTAAGTGAAAAAGGAAAATTTTTAGATACACTACGAAGTTCGAAAATCGTGCTCCTTTTGGAAAATTTGTTGTTGCTTTCTAACACTGAACAGGTGGCATTTGATTAACAAGATCATACTTTAAATAAAACTCATATTGATAATGCATTTTAAAACAGGTTCATCTTAAAAGCATTACATAGCATCATACCATATATACAATAACATATTCAATAATGATGCTAAATTGGTAATGAGTATGGTCTTCTACCGTATGCATAATAACATTTCGTTAATAATACTAAATAATATTAAAGAAAATTCGTAAACTTACAAAAGCAGTGTTGATTTTTTAAACATACAAGTACTACATTTTGAAATATTTTGGATGACAGAAATGTGTTTATGTACAAGGTTTCAATTAATTTACATAAAATACTCTTTTAAACATTTACACTGCTTTTCAAAAGCAGGCAACAATAAATTTGACATAACCAAGAAACTTAATCTTTGATTAACTCTAAATTTCAAGTGAAGGTAATTCAGTGAGATATTCATGACTAAATATTATAGTAAGCAAATTATAATTAGGTACATTTCTTAAAATTTATGTACGTACATCATATTTTGTACATTCAAAAAAAAAAAAAAAAAAAATTGCAAGGTATGCAAATGAAAGAAAGTTCCGTTAATCTCTGGCCTTCGTACGAGAGACGTCCACACCAATTAAGTGGTCAAGCACGTCAGGAAACCACAGAAATGAGCAGCTGTTCCGCCTGAAAGACTTTCAGCTTTTTCTGCTCATTTTGGGGCTTTTTATTATTTATTTTTTATTTATTTATTTATTTATTTTTAATGTTTTTGGATACAAAATTTTGATATAGTGGTGATATAAATGTTATGGAGAATTTTTTACGCTTGTACGAAGAATGCTACACTGTTACAAAAACTGTTTACAAAAATTTTTCTGTGAAGTATAAATTTTGTTACAGATATAATATAGATATTATAAAGGATTTTTCACACTGTAAAAGTTTTGACAAATCAAGCATATCAAAGAACTATAACTGTTATTCCTCTAACATGTAAGCTTTCTGGTCTTCGAGAGTACTGATTGCGGTACATGACCAAGGACAATACGCCAAGGAGATATTAAATATTTTTTATGCAGTTAGGAGGTTAAGACGAATTGGGCGATTACTTAATGAGAGTGATCCCTTCTCTCTTCAGAGCACTCATTCACTAAATTTGTTAAATGGGGACATGCATTAATCCTTCATAAATCGTTCATAAGAA